GGTACTATATTTTTTTAGGTTTTATGAGGAACGTCTTCCTAAAGTTTATCGACAGAATCCAGAAGCACCCTTCCGAAAAATCAATTTTGCCATGAAACTATAAGAGTTAGGAAAAAAAGTGAATGTACACTTTTTGTCAATAACAAACTGTTCTATCTAAAAACAGCATCATTTTTTATTTTCAGTAGGGCTGTATTAACTTTTTTTTATAATTTAATGACTCTGAGTTCCCATAACTCCGCCACTGGTTGCTTGCGGGACTTCTACTTCTATGGAAAAATGGCATCTTATAAGAAGATGTGTGATGCCAAATTTGGCTTAAATAGCCTTCTTCATTTAGAAGTTATTTAAAAAATTCGAATTTTTAAAAAATCTTTAACGCCCTATATTTCTAAAATGAAGCGTCTCTGGAACAAAATTTATACTTGATTTTTTTTCTTATCTTTTTATGAGGAATATCTCCTTAAAGTTTGTCGACTTAATCCTGAAACACCCTGTATAATGAAAATGAAACGCATTCTCATTATATCAAGCTTTGTAATCGAGTCTTTGTCAGCATTATATGTGAAAATATTTTTTTATTTTGGAAGAAAAAACTACTAAAATTCTTTTGCGATCATATTGCTCTATATATTTATTTACAGATAATATTTGGTGTCCAATAATAACTCAAAAACGCCCTGGAATAACTTTATAACTATTATTTTGAGCTGCTCAATTCGACTTTTCTCTTTTCCACACATTTACCCAAAGCCAGAACGGTCTGCTCAGTAGTATCCTTCTCCTGAACACAATCAAGGGCCTGTTGATCTTCTGAGCCAACTACTTCCGTCATGTAGTGTTTCACAACTTCTTGTGCTTTCGTGACATCGAAATGTCCCTCATCGTTGACGGCTTCATTTTTTTTGAATATGCACATCAAAAATTTGGTAGCTTTTGCGTCATTTTCAGCATCGTCACCCAGCAGAAATTCCGATACTTCAGCTTCTGTTAATTCCGTTTCATCCAAGCATTCTTGGTGTTCTTTGTCCATTTCGGCCTATAAGATAAACGGGAGGATTAAAATAATTTAACGTAAACTTAAACTAGAACTTTGTGTATCATAAGCGATGCAAAACATTCTTAAGCAAATGTTTCATTAAAAAAATAATAACAAAATTATTAGTCATAATAATGTAGTTCAATGCATCTAACATAAGTGCAAAATAATTTTTCTTTTATCTGAAAGTACCAAAAAATTAAAAAGAACTGTACATTTTTCTAAAAGCAATTTTGTTTGAAATCATTGATATTTACCAATTATTAATTTTATTATATTTTTGTTCAATTTTAGAAATGAAAAAATTTTAACTTAATTAATTTTATTTATCGGGTGTCCCAATATTCACGCAAGATTTGAATTTTGCACCATTTTGCAATTTTCGTACAAAACATGGCCGGAATAGTGATTTAACTTCATCAATTGTGAAGAGATTAATCGAAAAATTCAGACAGACTGGATCAATTAGTGATCTTAAACACTATGGCTGTCCTTCAAAAAGTCGTTCGATACAAAACATTGAAGCAGTTCTTGAGAGTGTTGTTGAGAGTCCACGAACATCAATTCGGCACCGTGGTCAATAATTGAATATTTTGAGAAGCACTCTGCAGCGTAGTGTCATGAAAGATTTACACCTTCATGCTACAAAATTCAGTTGACTCAAGAACTGAAACCTACTGACCACGCAAAGCGAAGAAAATACGTTGAATGGATTATTCAACAAAAAGTGGATGCTGATTCTTCAAACAATCATCTTAAGCGATGAGACTCATTTTCATTTTGATGGCTTCGTTAATCGACAAAATTGTCGTATGTGAGGATCAGAAAATCCACGAGTGATTGTTGAGAAACAAATTCATCTACAACGCGTCACTGGTGCAGATTTTGGGCTGGAGGCAGCATCGGATCATTCTTCTTTGAAAATACTACTGGTCAGGAAATAACAGTTAATGGTGGCTCGTTATCGCGACATGACAATCCAGTTTTTGTGGGTAGTAGTACTGAAAGGGGCGATCTCAGCCTGGCAAGTAAGCCCTTTTTGCCTGCCCCACCGTCCCGTCACCTGTCCACTCTCTGCCTCTGACCCTTCTCGAACCTACCGTACGCCCTAATAAACCCCAGGATTTTGGTCCATGGAAAGTCTCTCACCTCAACCCCTTGCAACTCTTCAGCACCAAATACTTTATGTATTAACCTCCCAAAGGCTGCACAGTGTCCCAGAAGATGGACAGGGGCGTCCTCCCCTACTCCACATTTCGGGCATTAAGGGTTCTCCTTAATTCCTATTAAACTTAAACGTCTCCTAAATCAGCAATGGACTGTCAGAACCTCCACCATTTGGTTTAGGGCTCTTCGACTGAGGCTCAGCAGCCATTTCGGTTAGTTTTTTCTGCCTAAATTGCAAGATATGGATGTAAACGACATGTGGTTTCAACTAGACGATGTCATTTTCTGGTGGTGTAATTTGTCGGTTTGGTGGTAAGAATTGCCGCCCAGATCATGCGATTTAACGCAGTTGAACTTTTTTCTTTGAGGGTTTTTGGAAGTTTAACATTTATTTCAATAATTACAAAGATGAAATTGAGCTGGATTTATGCAGAATGGTCGTGAAAATTTTCGACAAAAAAATGCGTATATGTTAGCAAAACCGTGGAAGCTATTTACCGATATGCTATTCCATACATAACTCTACACTGTATGTTTTATGAATCAATAAAAAAAATTACAATTTTTAATTAAAAACCTGTGTTTTTTATCAAAATTACTCCTGGCGTGGATTTTGGGACACCCTTTCATGCTGGATTATGCCCCATCTGAGAGGTGTAGTATTACGACCCAAAATTACGTACTTATTTATATTTAAGAGGTACTAGTTATCAACACATTTGTCCTATACCTGACAATTCGTCCTTTAACCAGAATATGTATAAGGTATTTTTTAAAACAGTTTACCCCCTATGGTTTATAGGGGTAGACAAAAGTATATGGATTTAACTTAATAAGTTCTTACTAAACACACTAGGCTTTGGATAAATGTCCCTTATTGATAGAGATGAGCCAATAGTAAGAAAGGATTTTATCCAAATTAAAAAAAACTAACAATAGTTATGTAAATATAGAATATTTAAAAAACAGTAATCTCGCTATAATGTAATTGGTAATTTTCAATCGAGAGTGTACATTTTTTATACAGAAATTTAATTTAACATAAACTGACAATTTATAAAAAGTTTGTAAGGAGCATTTCACTTAAAAATACACCCTACCTCATTATATTGATATTCAAGTTTAAATAGTTACTGAATTAGATTGATTCCTTTTACACTTGAAAATTTAGAATGTAATCAGTATGACATTACTAAAATATAAATAATAATTACTATTAAAAAAACCTTACTTAAAAATATTTTTTTTCTATATAACCAAAATTACGATGTGGAAATCTTGACCTTGACGTAAATTCTATCATTAAATGTAATTTATTAATCTTATTTCAATGTTTTGGTTTAGAACATAGGGCAATGAAAATAATAAAAAAAAAATAAACTTACGTGCGAAATGGCCATTATGACCACCATTGAAATAACGAAAACAGTCTTCATTGTTGCCTCAAAGAATGCACAGTTCTAGACTCTTAATTAAAATTTCCAGTGCATCTTTTATATACCAATTTCGCAAGGTGTTATGAAAATAATTGGTGTACAATGAGTAGCTAATTTGACTTATTATGTCCATTGTAATCACGGGTTTCTGGTTTGCTAGAAGTGGTAATGAGGTGATTAAAACGATTATTTCTCAACAAGTGACACACACAAATTATGTAACGCGGCTGCAGAATTGTACCAAAAATATAGTTAAGAGGAGCCAAACCGGAACAAACGGCTACAGCGATAGGTGGCACAGAATTCCCGGTTGATTATGGAAAATTTGGAGATAGAATATTGTTTTAAATTATTATGTAATGCCAGGATCACAGGAGATTAATTAGTAAAAAAATTTCTCATTTACTACAAATTTCCTTCAGGGTTTTTAATGTATAAAAAATTTGTATTAATGTTAATTCTGTAACTGTATTTATTTGTATATAAAAAATGCGTTTTTCAGTTATTAGTTTTTATAATTTTTTATTTTGAAGTAAATAAAAAAAATATACATATATTTGTTAAAAATGTAAAATTTCAATAACAACAATTGAAAGCATTGGTACAAGACGAGGATTACTTAATTTCTTATGAAGAATAGGCGTCAATACACTCTGCCAGTTTCAGAGCAGTGTTAACAGGTGTTATTCCTTGTTGGGAACATGGGCTAGTAAACGTCTCCAGTTTTGCTTCATCAGACCGGTGTTTGGAAAGTATCTCTTTAACCGTGTTTCTGTTGATACTGCCGTCTTGCCCTAATTTTAGCTATGTCGATAATTTCTCCTTCGTCAAGTGCTTTCAAAATATTTTCATCCAAATGGGTTGCCTTGTCGGCTTGGCATTCTTTGTGGATATATCTATTAATTTCAATACCAATTGCAATTCCAGTAACCTGAAGATTTTTTTATTATAAGATATTATGCAGGTAACAGAAAAGGACTACTCCTGTGTAGCTGATTGATTACACTACTTGCCCATGATAAACAGATTTAGCAAATAAGTAGTTCTTAGTAACGATTTGCAAAATGCCTGAAAACCAACAAACTTTAACTCTCACAATGGCAACATTAGATAAAGAAGTATTTGTAATAAAAAAGTTTTTGGGGATGAAATTGACGATATACAGTGTGTCTACTTGTATTATTATTATAATTAAATTGCAAGGTTGTTCATAAACATTAACAAATGGAAAGGTTATCATATTTTTAACAGATAAGAGAAAAATTACAAATAATTTATAATGTAAAATGTAAATAATCAGAAAACCTGAATCTTCTTGTTAAATGGCTATAATTGGATATTTGAAAATACCTTTTAATTCAAAATAACTTTTCTTTATAACAGTCTTCTGTATTGTCAAAAATAAGGGTACTTTACTCTTGAGCAAAATTCATCATTTCTGATATACCTCGTATATGACTGGGAAATTTTGATAAATGAAGGTAGCATTTTAGATTTTAGACCATGCAGAACTTTTTATGAAGAATAACTTTTTTTCATAAAACCAATAGCTAATAAAAAAGTTTTCCATATGGTTCCAACTTAAGTAGACACAAAAATCGTGCGATGCGTATATTATCATTAAAATTATATTATCTGAAATAGATGGCATGCCAAAATTTAATTGTTGATCTATCACACAAAAAAGTTATTATGATTCTCGCAGATAGTAGCTGCCAAAATTTTTAAAATGCTAAATATTCCGAAATTGTTGAGTTTATATGTATTATATACTGGGCCAAAAAATCGACAATTTTTTTTTTAAAGATATATCGAGCGGTTCAGAATGACGGAACAAAATAACGTGAAATATTAGTTTTAAGAGGTCTATCATCGCTAGTTTCGATTTTTTATTCCTGATCCCCTTATTGCGTCAAAACTGCCAAACCATAGAGGTAAAAATATTTATTTACATATATTTTTGAAGGAAATTGAATGCCCTACAAAAAAAATCTGATTGAAAATTTTCGACATACGAGCCGTTTCCATGTAATCAAGCCTTGAAAATTGATATGTGAAAAGAACAATACAGATTTTCAAAGGAAATTTAATGCTCTACAAAAAAGGTCTTTTAACATTTTTGCATAAATTTACTCATTCAAAAGTTATTCACGTTTGAATTTGAAGTAAAAATTAAATTTTAGTTTTTTCGTTTTGGACCCAATTTTTTCCACTCAATCGAACAATATGATATTATACATCATCGACAATTATTAATCTATCATATAATCACCAANCAACGCTGAACTGCACTTTGAAAAATTTTGTACTCAACAACGCCGGGAAATTGATTTTGAAATTCTATGAAACATTCCTCAATAGAATACTTCCACATTCTATCAATCTTGCGTCCATTTCTAAAGTAGGACTCTATGATAAACACTTTTTGTTCTTGAAAAAACACCATTTTAAACGCTTTTTAAAACGAAAATATTCAAATTGATAGCGGCGATATAGTGCTTTGACAGATGACGTTTAAGTTCATTTGCTATACGCTACGCCCTACGTCCAAATTTTCAGAACCAACTTGACCATGTTTTTATTTGAACGCTCGTTATATAGTCCACATATTATACTTCGGTTCAGGAGTTATTGCCGCAAGATTTACCAGCCCGCCTATAATTTGCTCAGTTTGTACAAAATATGCAAATGGGAAAACTCAAATTTCCTCAATAAGATTCTATTTACCTATGAGGCTACATTTACTAAACGGGGAGTTTTTAGTTGGAAGAACAATTATTCGTGGAATTCCGAAAATCTGCATCCCGTAAAAGAAATACATTTTCAGCATGAGTTTAAGGTGAATATTTGGTGTGGTTTAATTTCTGTTTTTTTTTCATAGGACCTTTTGAATTACCACCCAATGTAACTTGATTTCATTATTTAAACTTTTTTCAACATAATTTAAACAAGCTTCTAGATGATGTACCACTCGATTTAAGAGAGGTTATGTGGTTTATGCACGACCGTACGCCACCACATTTTGCCTTGCCAGTACGCCAGTATTTAAATGAACATTTTCCTCATTGGTGGATTGGCCGTGGGAGTGAATTTAGTTGGCCATCGAGAAGTCCAGACTTAAACCCTCTGGACTTCTCAGTATGGTCAAACTTGAAGGATGTGGTGTATCTTGAAGAAATTAAATCTGTTGAGGAGTTGCGGCAGAAAATACTAGCCGCGAAAGCATTTAAAAATAATAGGGGCATTTTGTTTAATATTCAGAAACTTTTAAAAGAGTGTATAGTAAAATGGATTGATAGGTGGTGGACACTTCCATCATTTGAATTAAGATTTGTTATTTTTACTATTATCAATAACTGTTATTGTAATTTTCATCTTTTGAGAATAAAAAGTCACCACAAAATACATTTAAACTTTTATATGCAAATAACTCAGAAACCGATACAGAGTACATGTTTTATGTAGAATTGAACGTCCTTTTAGATTTTTAATTTTTTTTAAGCATAGCTCAACAGGTATAAAAAAATTGTTGTTTACCTAACTAATACGGTGAAACTAGCGGAGCAACGTCAAAATAAGCTTCAAGTTCGTAATTCTCACACCAAAAAACCTAACACTACCAATTTTCAGAGTCGTGCTATCAAAACTTTCTCAATTATTGAGAAATTTCAGAATAAAATTTAAACCTTGATCATCCTGTATTTCTTAAACCAGTGATATTCGTATAAGGCATGACGAGCTGAAACATAATATTTTGGTGTCTAGTATCAAAATTTTCTCAATTATTGAGAAATTTCAGAATAAAATTTAAACCTTGAACACGCTGTATTTCTTAAACCAGTGATATTCGTATAAGGCATGACGAGTTGAAACATAATGTTTTGGTGTCTAGTATCTCCAGCTTAGCGTTGACCCATTCTTTCTGACTCACTCTGTATATCCCATTTTCTTATAACAAATGGTAGAAGAATTACCGTCCACCAATTATTTGCTCAGAAAGACATACGTACATATTTTTAAGCTGATTCCTCTCGTCAATAATTCTTATTTAGTTACTAATACAGAGCTTTTATAAATGACCAGTAATTTTGTATGGAACAGTAATTTTGTTTACTTCACGTTGGCAATTATATTTTGGTAAAATTAAAAATTATTGAAACAATAAGATCAAGATTACATCGAAACACAATATTCTGTTTCACCAGCTGGCGACATTATTCACGAGATTTTATTCAACCAATCAACATTATCTCGAGCATAAACATAACGGTTTGTCATTGTTCATTGTAAACGAATCTTTAATATTGGTTATGCGAATACGAATTCACGTGTACCTCAGATCAGGCTTTACTTATGGCATCCAGATGAAAACTAATAATTTCTAAACTGGTTTGTGTCTAATGATTTCGATGAGGAATGATCTTAGTTATCAATATTGGTCGGAATATTAGTTTGTAGAGTACTATTTTTCAAAAATATAATTTATTAACATCAATGTTGCAAAACAATCGGAATTCTGTCAGTCACTGAGCGCCTACTAAAATATAGCCTGTGGTACAAAAAAAACATATTTTCATAATACTCTAGAACTGTTTAACTAGCTACTTCCGATATAGCAGATAGATTTGAATAAGTAAGAAAACAATATATAGTGTGTTTTTTCTTTAATGCGTCTATGACTACCTAATTTACGTTTTTTTGATACAAAATGATTGTTAAATTTTTTTTGTCATTAGCGAAATTTTGAACTCTTAAAGATTCGCTTAAAAGTTAGAAGTCCTCGGCCTTTATATGTACCTACCTACTGATTGTGCTCTGAATTCTGTTTTTATAAAGTGTGGATCACTAGGTAAAACCTAGGACATCCTTCGATTATAATGATATAAGCTGCCTTTATATTTATATCTTTTTACTTTTAAGTTATCGAAAATTTACTAGAACTGAGCATTCCTCTGACTATTTGTATATGTAAAAGATTGCCCTTCTACATCTTTCTGTTATTTGTTAAATTAGATATAGCTAACGTACTTCACTCTGCTAGTTTTCGCATATAGCCT